TGTGGAAATACTTATATGGGTGGTATTTTTCAACAAAAAGAGCATTTAGCCGGAATTTCTGGGAATGTAAGAGCATGCCCACAAGTTACAGATGAAATAAAAAAGGAAATTAGAGAATATTTGGATAGATTGAAAAAAGATAAAGAGAAAAAAAGAAAAGAAAAGAAAGGAATTACTTGATGATATGCAATTATTTGATGATGTTGATGATGATGATGATGATGATGATGATATGTTTGAAGATGCTATGAGGCAAAGGGGTACTCATACTCCAACCTCAAGAGAGAGGGTTATAAATATTGGTGGTAGTGCTGAGAAAAGAACACCTCTCTCTAAGGGGCCAATGGATTCTTTTTTTACCCTTAGCCCCGAAATTGTGGTTCAGGAGAGAAAGAAAAAAACAAAACAAACCATAATTGACAATAAATATAAGAAAGAACAAAGGAAGTTGGTATATTAGTGGATTGCAAAGTGGATTTACATGGCCGGCATTCCTTTTAATACTATAACTCTGGATAGTTTTGCATGTATGGTTCAAGCAATTGGGCAATATGGCCCAGGACTTATTTCTCATTTACTACATGAGGTTAGGGAGCCTTTGTTGAAGGATGTTGTATTTGATGTGAATAAAATTTTGATTTCTCAGAGAGAAGGGTGGGAGAAATCTGGGGCCACTATTATGTGTGATGGTTGGTCCAATGGGAAATCAAGGGCATTCATTAATTTTTTGGTTAACTGCCCAACATGTACTTTTTTCGTTAAGTCTATTGATGCATCAGACAAGTCACATGATGGTACATACTTATCTGGCTTGATGGATGAGACTGTCGATTTTGTTGGGGAGCAAAATGTGGTACAAATTATCACTGACAATGGTGCCAACTATGCTGCAGCTGGGCATTTCTTGACTTTGAAAAGGAAGCATATGTTTTGAACTCCTTGTGCAGCTCACTGTGTTAATCTTATGCTTAAGGAAATGGGTACAACATCTTTATTTAGTGGGGTGATTTCAAGAGCTATGTTTGTTGTTGGATTTATTTACAATCACACCATAGTCCTAAGCATGATGAGGTCTTTTACAAAGAAAAGAGAATTAGTGAGACTGGGTATCACTAGATTTGCCACGTCATTTTTCACTCTTCGAAGCCTAGCCAAGCAAAAAAGTGCCTTGAGGACCATGTTTGCTTCAGAGCAATGGAGTCAAAGCAAATGGTCAAAGCATAAGGATGGGAGAAAGGCTGAAAAAATTATTCTGAATACATCTTTTTGGAGTCAAATAATTATTGCATTGGAGGTGGCTCGCCCTTTAGTGAGAGTGCTTCGATTGGTTGATGGTGATGCGAAGCCCGCCATGGGCTACATACATGAGGCAATGACTAGGGCAAGAATTGAAATAAAAGATGTTTTAAAGGATAATGAAAATATGCGCAAGGCTATACTTGAAATTATTGATAGGAGATGGGATACCCTGCTTCACAGGCACCTCCATTCAGCCGGTTATTTTCTAAACCCATCTCTTCACTACAAGCACCCATCCATTGAGTCAGATCGTGTAATAAATGGTGGGTTCTTAGATGTGCTGGAGAGGTTGGTGCCAGACAAAGATATCCAGGATGAGATCCAGAGCCATGAATTGATTAAGTTCAAGTTAGCCTTGGCAAACTTTGGGAGAGATATTGCCACTCGAAATAGCGACACTACAGATCCAGGTAAAGGCCAAAAGCCCAAAAATAATCTTACTTGTCGCTTATTTTATGTATAGTTCTATTGTTTATTTTATACCCTTAATTTTTAATTATATTCTAAATTATAAAATATTATACAGCTGCATGGTGGGCATTATATGGAGACGAGACACCAAATCTACGTCTCGCTATTCGAGTGTTGAATCTCACATGTAGCTCACCTGGTTGTGAGCGCAAATGGAGGTGCATTTGAGCATGAAAGTCCTTTACTCCTTATTCCTTAATCCTTATTTCTTAAATTTCAATTTTCTAATCTAAAATCTAATTTATCTGATTTCAAATTTCTACCACAGCTCCATACAAAAAAACAAAATAGGTTGGAGCGGAAAAAGTTGAATGATTTGGTTTATGTACGGTATAACGAGCGGCATAGAGAGAGGTATGAAAATCGCACGAAGCTCAACCCTATTCAATTATATGAAGCTGATGGTGATTCCATAAGTGAGTGGACCATGGATCCAAGACAAGAGCGTGTGTTTGAGGGTGAGGATCTTACATGGCTTGATGTCGAGCTAGCAACAGGGGCTAATGAAGAAGATCGACCTAACACTAGAGCACAAAGGAGTAGAGGAGCTTCTAGGTCTAGTCGCACTCACACATTAGCTTCAGAGGTTGAGGAGGAAACTGACTCAGAGGAGACTGATCAAGAAGAATACATGGAGGCCGTCGAGGATGATATTGATGATGCACA